CCATGCATGCATCTGCTCAGTTTGCTTATGGTGAGTACCGTTGAGTGACAGGGAATCAATCACATGGGAAGATATACACAGAGAGTGGGCAACCGTCAGTCCCTGAGAGCAAGATTCTATCCATGCACGCATCCGCTCAATTTGCTTATGGTGAGTACCGTCAGTGACATGGAATCAATCACATGGGGAGATACACACACATAGATGAGAGAGAGAGAGAGAGACAGAAAGAGAGACAGAGAGAGAGAGAGAGAGAGGGGGGGGGGAGGGCAACCGTCAGTCCCTGAGGACATTGCAATTAAGCCGCTGGTTAAGAAGCAGCGTCAACTATGACTTTAAGTCGCTGTCTGTGGGTCAGGCTTCTGTAATGCCACGCTCGATCATAGCTGCAGGTAATTTAGCAGCAGAATGTCTTGCGTTGGTGTCGACAGTGGTACCGAGAGCTGCCCGTTCAGTGCAAAAGCAAACTAGTGAATGTAAAATTCATCTAGAAAAACCACATTGCTGGCATTCCTTTTCTTTTGAGTACACTTTCGTTACCCACAAAGTCGCGCCATGATATACCAAGAATGCGTCTCATACAGCTCATGTGGAGAGTATCCAGTCTTTGTTCTTATGGAGCATAGAGTCCAGGTTGCTTCCCTTTAATGGAGCGTGCTGAGAAAGCAGGCTACATATACTTTAATGTTAGTCCTATACGTGATATTATGCATGGGCAACATATGGTCTCTACAATACTGCCCAGGCTTTGTGCAAACGGGACATGAATGATACAGGCATTGAGGTGGACTCATGGGAACAAAATGCTATGGACCGTGTTGTGTGGAAAGGGCATATCAGAAAGGGATTGAGAGTAAAGGAAGAAATGAAATGTTGACAAAAATGGTCCTAAAATCCCATGCTATCATTGTGGAAGACTTTTCTTGACAGGGGCGGGTCTTGCTAGTCACACTCGCCATCGCCACGGGCTGTCAGTCTCACGCCTCCTCATAGAGCAATTTAACACTATCGTCTGGAAAGACAGAAAAGGTGCCAGTCAATCCTGCGTGACATGTTTAGTTAAACATATACTGTTTCTATAGTTTCTCTAGTCACAAAAAATGAGGCGTGCTCTCAAAGATGACGTTTCTATGTACTCTCTAATAATCGAACATAATGGCTGCTTGGCTGCTCTCTTATGTAAAGTTTTTATACTTTCTCGTCAAAGAATATAGTATTTACTCTCGCAGCTTATTCTCCTTTTGTCGTCTCACTGTTAACCACGTAGTAGCCCAGTGTTATGCTTTTCTGTATTTGTCTTGCACTTATCGGATGGCTTTGTTAAAGGATTTATTTCATCTTTTTTTTTGCAGGTTTCAGTTGTATTATTTATGCCTCTATTTCTGGCCCCAGCCATCCTCCCAGATGTTCTGCTGTTCAAAACTTTATATCCAGTTTGGCCTGGCTATATTTTGTCTAGATGGCCGTACCATTGTATTCTTTGTCTGTCAATATAATTCACACACGGAACGAAATGTTTGCTATCATGAATAACGTTTTTATACGTTCTCTAGTTACGCAAATAATAATACACGTTCTGGAATATAGTGTCTGTAAAATCTTCCATGCGGCGTCCGTCGCTTGAGCGTTGCGAGTCCGGCTCGTAATTCCAACGTACCGCGAAAAAATCCCACTGCTGGCAGCGTGGACGTATCGTGATATGGGGCATCGCAGGTCGACCCAGTCTAAAATGGGTACCATGATGTATGTCCTGGTGAAGTAAAGACGGCCGGCGTAATGCTGACCACATTACCCCCCTAGTGCCGATTGGTCTGTAAAAACATGGGTGCTCTTTCCACATGCCTGATGCGCCTAAAGCGAGAAAAAAGATCTTTAATTTTTACTATTACTTTCACTTTTCCAGCTGGCTGCATTGGCGGCTGCTCTCACAGATAATGTCTCTATACTTTCTCTAGTCACTGAACCTGATTATATATCTAACATATAATGTTTTTAAACTTTCTATAGTCACCGAACATGATTTCAACTCTCAGAGATAATGTTTCTATACTTTCTATAGTCAATGAACGTGATTTCAGATCCCACAAATAATAATTCTAAACTTTCTCTAGTCACCGAACGTGATTTTCGACTCTAAAGTTTCTGTAGTGACAAAACATTATTTCGGCTCTCGTAGATAATGTTTCTATACTTTCTCTAGTCACCGAACGTGATTTCGGCTCTCAAGAAAAATGTTTCTACTCTTTCTCTAGTCACCGACCATGATGTCAAATCTCACACACAATTTTTCTACACTTTCTCTAGTCATCCAACATGATCTCGGCTCTCATAAATAGTGTTTCTATACTTTTTCTAGTCACTGAAGATGATGTTAGATCTCACAGATAACGTTTTTATACTTTCTCTCGTCACCAAACATGATTTCGGCTCTCACAGATAACGTTTTTATGCTTTCCGATGATTTCGGCTTTCATAAAAAAGGTTTCAATACTTTCTCCAGGTGGCTGCCTTGATGGCTGCTCTCATATTTGGAGCGGTGGTCTACCTGACCGAGTTAATCTCTGGCGAGCACACCTTTAGAAACGTGGCCTTGGCCACGTGGTATAGCTATGAAACTATGACCGCCATTGGTTCTGGCAGGGTGGTGCCTTCATCTGTTCCCGGCAACGTTATCGCCGTCTGCTGCAGCATGTTTGGGGTGATTCTGTTTTCGATGCCCATTGCAATAGTCAAAGAAAGTTTCAAGCAATACCTGGTTGCTCTGAGGACATACAAGCATCAGCTGGTCCGAGTTAACTATCTGAGGAACCAGGGCCAGGAGAATGCTTTCCTGTGAGTTATTCTACGAATGTATTGTTGTATCTCTGTATATAGTGTTGCTGCTGTACCTCTGCATAATATTGATATATCTCTCTATATATATAGTGCTGTGGTTGTCTGTGTATAAAGTGTCGTTATTATATTTTTGTATACAGTGTTGTTGTTGTGTGTATGTATACAGTTTTGCTATTGTATCTTTCTATATAGTGGCATATTATGTCTGTATTTGGTGTTGTCGTTTCTCTGTTCATATTGTTGATCTTTATATAGCGTTGTTGATTCACATAAAGGGATTTGCACAGTCTAAGAAATCCAGAGAGTTTCAGGACAACAGTTTTCTCAGATTTTTACGGAAGTGTTTGTCATTGCTCAATGTATTATTTGTTATCCCATATTTCCTTATCGCTGTTTCGGCCCGTGAGTTTGAGGGGTATTCCATAAAAGGCCTTTCTGCTTCAGATTTGTATACTGGCTCTCTAGTAAGTTCTATCTAGTTGTTGTATTCATTACAACGAGTCTATTTGATGCCCTTTGACTGGATTTTCTCCTTATTTTGAGTCTGCCTTTCAGGTGAGCCTGGTGTCTAATGAAACCCTCACCTCTCCCCCAAAAAACTTTTGTGTCTAAGATATGTGTTTATTTTCTAATATTAGGAATATTATTTCTTTGTGTGGATGGGAGAAAATGTACTGTTTCAATGAGTTTTGATTGTTTTAGTTTTACACTGATATGGCCAAGCTTTCGTATAACAGTAATAGATAGTATTGTCTCTATTATCACGGAGTTTTGGACTGTGCAACCAAATCTGTCATCCACAATGAGCCAGTGACGTCGGGCTAAAAAGTGCATAGGAGGGATGACAAGCTTTTATCTGTACTAAGACACAATATGAAAATAATGTTATGTCAGGGCAGACCAAGCCCACTACAATCAAACAAGTACGAGAATTAAAAAAAAACACCAGGAAGCATATTTATGGAGGATGGCAGACTCGAGGGAGAGATAGAAGCCAGAGTACAGAAGGTAAATGCTGTCATCTACCACATTTAACCTCGTGTGAAATGTGCTGTCTCCGCAAGGTCAGTAACATCTCTAGACGAGACAGGGTTACGAATACCAGCATTATAGAGAAAGTTGTAAAAAGACCATATCTGGATTATATCGAAAAACAGAGAATAAAATGATTAGGCCACCTAGTGAGAATGCAGCCAGACTACAATCACTGCATATGAGACCTTTGTACTGTAGAGCATCTGAAAGGAAGGCGAGAGGAAGACAGAGAAAGGGACGCACAAATGTTGTAGATGAAACCTGCGAAATATTGAACAAATTCATCACTCAAGCTATCCCAGAAGCGCAAGACAAATACAGAAAACCACGACACTGGACTACAACCTGGTAACGGTGAGACGACAAAACCACGACACTAGGCTACAACCTGGTAACAGTGAGACGACAAAACCACGACACTGGGCTACAACCTGGTAACAGTGAGACGACAAAACCACGACACTGGGCTACAACCTGGTAACGGTGAGACGACAAAACCACGACACTGAACTACAACCTGGTAACGGTGAGACGACAAAACCACGACACTAGGCTACAACCTGGTAACAGTGAGACGACAAAACCACGACACTGGGCTACAACCTGGTAACAGTGAGACGACAAAACCACGACACTGGGCTACAACCTGGTAACAGTGAGACGACAAAACCACGACACTCTGCTACAACTTGGTACCAGTGAGACGACAAAACCACGACACTAGGCTACAACCTGGTAACAGTGAGACGACAGAACCACGACACTGGGCTAAAACATGGTAACGGTGAGACGACAAAACCACGACACTAGGCTACAACCTGGTAACAGTGAGACGACAAAACCACGACACTGGGCTACAACCTGGTAACAGTGAGACGACAAAACCACGACACTAGGCTACAACCTGGTAACAGTGAGACGACAAAACCACGACACTGGGCTACAACCTGGTAACAGTGAGACGACAAAACCACGACACTAGGCTACAACCTTGTAACAGTGAGAAGACAAAACCACGACACTCGGCTACAACCTTGTAACAGTGAGACGACAAAACCACGACACTCGGCTACAACCTTGTAACAGTGAGACGACAAAACCACGACACTGGGCTACAACCTGGTAACGGTGAGACGACAAAACCACGACACTAGGCTACAACCTGGTAACAGTGAGACGACAAAACCACGACTCTGGGCTACAACCTGGTAACAGTGAGACGACAGAACCACGACACTGGGCTACAACCTGGAACCGTGAGACGACAAAACCACGACACTAGGCTACAACCTGGTAACAATGAGACGACAAAACCACGACACTGGGCTACAACCTGGTAACGGTGAGACGACAAAACCACGACGCTAGGCTACAACCTGGTAACAGTGAGACGACAAAACCACGACACTGGGCTACAACCTTGTAACAGTGAGACGACAAAACCACGACACTAGGCTACAACCTTGTAACAGTGAGAAGACAAAACCACGACACTGGGCTACAACCTGGTAACAGTGAGACGACAAAACCACGACACTGGGCTACAACTTTGTAACAGTGAGACGACAAAAGCACGACACTGGGCTACAACCTGGTAACGGTGAGACGACAAAACCACGACACTGGGCTACAACCTGGTAACAGTGAGACGACAAAACCACGACACTGGGCTACAACCTGGTAACGGTGAGACGACAAAAGCACGACACTCGGCTACAACCTTGTAACAGTGAGAAAACAAAACCACGACACTCTGCTACAACTTGGTACCAGTGAGACGACAGAACCACGACACTAGGCTACACCCTGGTAACAGTGAGACGACAAAACCACGACACTGGGCTACAACCTTGTAACAGTGAGACGACAAAACCACGACACTAGGCTACAATCTTGTAACAGTGAGAAGAAAAAACCACGACACTCTGCTACAACTTGGTACCAGTGAGACGACAAAACCACGACACTAGGCTACAACCTGGTAACAGTGAGACGACAGAACCACGACACTGGGCTAAAACATGGTAACAGTGAGACGACAGGGCCACGACACTGGACTACAACGTGGTAACAGTGAGACGACATAACCACAAAACTGGGCTACAACCTGGTAACAGTGAGACGACAGAACCACGACACTGGGCTACAACCTGGTAACAGTGAGACGACAAAACCACGACACTAGGCTACAACCTGGTAACAGTGAGACGACAAAACCACGACACTGGGCTACAACCTGGTAACAGTGAGACGACATAACCACAAAACTGGGCTACAACCTGGTAACAGTGAGACGACAGAACCACGACACTAGGCTACAACCGGGTAACAGTGAGACGACAAAACCACGACACTAGGCTACAACCTGGTAACAGTGAGATGACAAAACCACGACACTGGGCTACAACCTGGTAACGGTGAGACGACAAAACCACGACGCTAGGCTACAACCTGGTAACAGTGAGACGACAAAACCACGACACTGGGCTACAACCTTGTAACAGTGAGACGACAAAACCACGACACTAGGCTACAACCTTGTAACAGTGAGAAGACAAAACCACGACACTCGGCTACAACCTTGTAACAGTGAGACGACAAAACCACGACACTCGGCTACAACCTTGTAACAGTGAGACGACAAAACCACGACACTGGGCTACAACCTGGTAACGGTGAGACGACAAAACCACGACACTAGGCTACAACCTGGTAACAGTGAGACGACAAAACCACGACACTAGGCTACAACCTTGTAACAGTGAGACGACAAAACCACGACACTCGGCTACAACCTTGTAACAGTGAGAAGACAAAACCACGACACTCTGCTACAACTTGGTACCAGTGAGACGACAAAACCACGACACTAGGCTACACCCTGGTAACAGTGAGACGACAAAACCACGACACTGGGCTACAACTTTGTAACAGTGAGACGACAAAACCACGACACTAGGCTACAACCTTTAACAGTGAGAAGAAAAAACCACGACACTCTGCTACAACTTGGTACCAGTGAGACGACAAAACCACGACATTGGGCTACAACCTGGTAACAGTGAGACGACAGAACCACAAAACTGGGCTACAACCTGGTAACAGTGAGACGACAAAACCACGACACTGGGCTACAACCTGGTAACAGTAAGACGACAAAACCACGACACTGGGCTTCAACCTGGTAACAGTGAGACAACAGGACCACGACACTGGGCTACAACCTGGTAACAGTGAGACGACAAAACCATGACACTAGGCTACAACCTGATAACAGTGAGACGACAGAGCCACGACACTGGGCTACAATCTTGTAACAGCTTCTGCAGAAAGCTTTTTTTATAAACGTATTGGTGTCACCATTCTTTTGAGTGGACAAGGCAGGCCGAGTGAGGGATCATGGTGCACAAACAACACCTGGCCCCTATAATAATGCATAGGATTTGTGCTCTGCAGAGGTTGAATCTGATCTATGTTTTTAACTAGATATGATTCACATGCTCCTGTATAACAACCTAACACAACCGTCTGGAAATATGAAAAGGTGTCAGTGAAAGTTTTAGCTCCCCAATTCTTTACCCAGATATTTACGGCCCCTGCCATCCCATCTACCGTATATATCAACAACAACATGATATAAAACCCGCTATAATTGGTTCCTTACAAATTTAGGGGTGGGGAAAAATGGGAGAGGGGGAGGGGGTTGTGGGGGGGGGGGTGAGCTCAAAGAGTCCAAGTTTCAGGTTTAGGTTACTCTGACTCTACAAGATGCCGCGTGTACTGGGCTTGCCAGCTTTGTTTCTGAATGTTCTAGTTTGGTGAATTACAACCAATGTGTATCTGATAACGCGTACACTACTCGTGTGTTTGTGTGTGTTTGTGTGTGTGTGTGTGTGTGTATGTGGAGTGTGTAATGAGTGTGTGTGTGTGTGTGTGATGTGTGTGTGTGTGTGTGTTTTAGTTATTCGCCCCATGTGTTATGTTATGAGTTATAAGTTATCTTCTCCTTCTTTGCGTTTACCAGCTGTAAACTCTAACGGAAAGTTCTGGTTGTTCCAGAACCTGAGTGTTGCGTGTGCATCCGTTTGACAGATCTGACACATTTGTGTAGACTGTTGGTTCCTTGCCTCTCAGGCAGATGCACTCAGACTTCGAAGGAAGCTCCCAATTAGTCGACTCTTACGACATCCTTTTGGGTAGGCAGTTGGTCTGTTCTTGTTTTCCCTATAATAGGACACCGGAACCCACACAGGGGTGGTTATAAGTTATGATCTGTGTTATCTTCACGGCACTCCGAACACGTCCGTAGGTGCTCAGATTCCCCCTTCCACATTCACATCAGCGTTGATGGCTCCAGTCCTGTGTTGCTTGACAAGACTTCTCTTGATTTCGGTGTGCTTCGCGTGCCTGGCTATGCCGATCTTAACTCCCAATTCTTGCAATCTTAGCAACGATGTGGATGTTCTACTCCCCAAATCCTTCAAACGTCCTACCTCTCTTATGGCGTTAACAATGTCGGCATGAGCATTGGGCCGGCACTCTGTAACTAAAGCAGAGTCGGCTAATCTGTCGGCTCTTTCATTACCAACAACACCTGCATACCCTTGGACAAAGATGAAGGTTACTCTAGGCACAGTGACGTTTTGCAATTACTCGATCCACTGTCTCCGTACACGTCTTGTGTGTGTGTGTGTGTGTGTGTGTGTGTGTGTGTGTGAGAGAGAGAGAGAGAGAGAGAGAGAGAGAGAGAGAGAGAGAGAGAGAGACAAATTAGCTGTGTGACTAGTGATGATTATAAGGATACATAAGTTCGTCGATGAATCCATGTTGTCATGTGTAATTTAGCTCAACGATGAATCCATGTTGTAATGGGTAATTTAGCTCATCGATGAATCCATAGTGTAATAAGTAATTTAGCTAATCAATGAATAATCATACTTAAAATGAGTATTTTGGTACATAGAGAAATAGGTATGTTTCTTCTTCTTGAAGACAATGTCGTGTGGCGTTGGTAGTCATGTCTATCCACAACCTTCTGTCTTGTGTACTTTCAATCAACTCTGATACAGTTTACCTTCCATGCCGTGATTTTAGCCGACTGACGAATATTCATGTTGGTAATTAGTATTTGCGGCGTCCGTGGCTTTGGCATTGCGAGTCCGACTTGTAATTCCAACGTACCGCGACCGAAACCCACTGCTGGCTGCGTGAATTTGTATCATGGTATGGGGCGTCGCAGGTCGACCCAGCCTGAAACGGGTACCAGGATGGGCTGTCCTGGGAAAGTAAAGACGGCCGGCGCAATGCTGACCACATTACCCACCGAGTGCTGAAGATCTGTAAAAATATGGGTGCTCTTCCCATATGCCCGATACGCCTAAGGGAGTGAAAAGGGATCTTTACTTTACTTTTAATTAGTATTTGTGTATAGCTAAGAAATCGGAGTGCATCTGTCTGAGAGACAACGAACCAGCAATATGGAAAGTAAAGGACCCTCTTCCAGTTCTTGAAGCGCATTGGGTATATCGGGCTAGATCTATATTTTATAGACACAATGGCAGTTGGTGAGTGATGTGGTCAGCACCAAGCTGGCCGCCTTTACTTCTCAGGACTGTACCTGGTACCCACTGATTGCTTTGTCAACCTGGGAGCGAAGGCCATTCTTGAAAAAAAGTCCGGTTCCTGTCAGGACCCGAACCGCAAGCGATCCGCAAGTGAACGTCTAGCCGCTAGACCACGGCGTCTGCCGATAAACAAACAGTCAGCATACAAATAAACCAGATTGGTGAAGCGGATGTTCTGGCAAATCTGAAGTTCTGAAACAAGAGCAAAGTCCAGAAATGGGTGAACAACCAAAACTTTTCGCAGGAGATTACAGCTAGTAAAAGCCGAGACAAAGAACTGCCGCGGAGTGATGCTTACTTTGATTATGTTTGCTCTAAAGTAAGAAATGAAAAAAAAAAAAAAAAGGCTATCTTCCGAAAAACGGTCCCAAATTATCGAGGCCGAAAATATACCCTAACAGGGCATCAGTCACGTGTCAACTATGGACTTCCGCGTGTAGCGAAAGTCCGAAACTGACACGTGACTGATTCCCTGTTAGGGTATATTTTCGGCCTGGATAATTTGGGACCGTTATTCGAAAGATAGCCAAAAAAGTGCCTTGACCATGTCTGGTGTTTATGTTAACAGAGCCACCCACATGTTCTGATTACTTCGATAATGTCTGCTCTAAAGTAAGATTTTTAAAAAGTGCCTTGACCATGTCTGTTGTTTCTGTTGACAGGGCCTCTCGCATGTTCTGGTACCGACCAGATGGTGTCAGTTCAACTTCTCCAATGAGACCAACTTCTCCAGTCAGATCGGCTTCTCCAACTGATGAAAGTGATCTCTCTATGGTCTAGTGAAAGCTAAATTGCTCTCATCGATGCTTAGCAAATAAGCTGATTTCTGAATATAAGCAACACAGTTGTCAGCGCTATACACATACATTAGTTGCTTTCATTGCAATAGGCAACACTGATGTTAATGGCTTTGCCCATGAATAAGTTCATTTACTAATACGAAACAACATGGACTGGTACTTTGATTTTATACGACCACATCTCGGCAGCTTCGAGATTTAGAATGGAAATCCCCAGAGTGTTATATGGTATAGTAGTCGCTAGTCATTTAACACTAGACCTAACCCTAACCCCCCCCCCCCCCCCTCATAACATGGTACTGTCCAAGGAAACCCCTAGGGATCCCAAGAAATTCCTCATCAAATCACGAGGCCAACGAGATGTGATCGTATAAAATTAAAGTACCCTTGGATTTGCTTGACTTTAACATAATTCAATGGCGGGGCGTGATCAATTTGTACAACAGCAACGCAGGTGACATTGATGGCCACACAAATACGTTCCCTTTCTGTTACATTTATTCTCAAACTTATTTGACCTACCGTACCTTTTTTTTTCAAATTTACAAATTATCATCTTTATCATAAACCACTTCTGCCGTTAAGCGGCGTGGCAGAGTACATTGGCTGGCACAGGCAACTGTCATGCCGTAAAGGCGTAGAGTGTCTTTAATGTTGTCGATCCATTTTTTTTCGTGGTCGTGCTTTTGTAGCTGATCTTCTGGAGATGCAGTGCTTCTGATGGTATTTGATGTTGCTGCATTCTAACGAGATGGCCAAACCACTTGATCTGCGGTTTCTTGATAAATCTAGTCAGCGGTTCCCACAATTTGTTTGAAAGTATCATTCAGTATTCATCGGGTCTCGGATGGTTAGATTGGCAATTTTCATCAGGCATCGCATCTCGCAGGTGGTGATTTTGCGTACATGGGCTTTATATAATGTCAATCTTTGGCACTTGTAGCTTAATACTGGAATGAATATGCTGTTTATAATTTGCTTCTTTGCACTCATAGTTATGTTTGGATTCCTTAATAATGGTCACAATTGGTTAATAAGTTGATTTACTTTCTGACTTCTGGGCTGTATTTCTCTGTCAATTGTGCTATTTTTTCGTGATCGCATTTGCAAGATATGTACATTCCCTAACATGCTTCAGGCTGGAACCATTCAGCTGTATGTGTGGTGGTCCAAGGGTTCTACTAACTTACTTTGTCTCGGTTTGCTTGAATTTTATTTAAATGTAATCCTGTCCCGAGAGTTAAGGTATTTTGGCCATGTTCAACGTCAGGGCGACCTGGGGACAACGGGCGTGGAGGGCACAGTTTGCGGAAGAAAATTAAAAAGCAGAGACAGCCTTCGGTGAAAAAAGATACAAGATGTCCGAAATGCACAAGCCATGAAAGCACAGGCAGCCGGAGAAATGGTTAGAGAATGGAAGACTGTCAGGCATCCGGCGATAAGAGCGACGTTCTGTATAGACCCTGGTAATTGATGATGACGACCACCGCAAACCTGAACACACACTCGAGGATAATGTGTAGGTGTCTGTTTGTGTGGGTGGGTGTGTATGTGTGTGTGAGTGTTTCTACCCAAACTGATGACGACCACCGCAAACCTGAACACACACTCGAGGATAATGTGTAGGTGTCTGTTTGTGTGGGTGAGTGTGTCTGTTTGTGTGGGTGAGTGTGTGTATGTGTGTGGGTGAGAGTGTGTATGTGTGTGGGTGAGAGTGTGTATGTGTGTGAGTGTTTCTACCCAAACTGTGGCCACTTTTATAAATGCAATGTCAGTTCCTCGTTCATGTTACTTCTGTCAGTTTTTCTTGTAATTTTGTAGATTTCTTCTCTCTTATTCGCAAATGGGCCTAAAACTCATGTTTTTTTTTTTAAAGATGAGAACAGCAAATCAACAGTTGCATTTCCCATGATAAGAATAGTTTACAAAAGCGTTTTTCGTGATAAGAACAGTCTACAAAAGAGTTTCTCGGGATAAAAACGGTCTACAAAATAGTTTTTTGTTATAAGAACAGTCTACAAAAGAGTTTCTCGTGATAAGAACAGTTTACAAAAGACTTTCTCATGATAAGAACAGACTACAAAAGACTTTCTCATGATAAGAACAGACTACAAAAGAGTTTCTCGTGATAAGAACAGTCTACAAAAGAGTTTCTCGTGATAAGAACAGTCTACAAAAGAGTTTCTCGTGATAAGAACAATCTACAAAAGAGTTTCTCGTGATAAGAATGGTCTACAAAAGAGTTTCTCGTGATAAGAACAGTCTACACAAGAGTTTCTCGTGATAAGATCAGTCTAAAAAAGAGTTTCTCGTGATAAGCACAATCTACAAAAAAGTTTCTCATGATAAGAACAATCTACAAAAGAGTTTCTCGTGATAAGAACAATCTACAAAAGAGTTTCTCGTGATAAGAACAATCTACAAAAGACTTTCTCGTGATAAGAATAGTCTACACAAGAGATTAGCGTGATAAGAACAATCGACCAAGGAGTTTCTCGTGATAAGAACAGCATGTCAAAGTCTAAATCATTAAATGTACGCCCTATTCAAGTACACCACAGATAGTGACTAGAAATCTCAAGGAACGAATGGAAAACTGCCGCACACATACAGCCGAACTTTGTCACCAGTCTTTATATCAAACGAATACTAAATACAAGGGCAGCCACCGTGGGGTAGCGGCTAGATGTTGGAAGGGCCGAAAGTAAGACAGGTCTGCGTGCCTATTTTGTAACCCTTTGAAAATAAAGTTCTGTAGATAAGAAGGTCACTGGCTAAAATACGAACCGAGCTAGACCCTTTTCCTCTTCAAAAATGACCTTGGCTTCTAGAGCCTTAAATGGGCATCAGGTTCAGTCCTGGGAAGTAAAAGAGGCAGGCGTGATGTTGACGTCACCTACAATGTGCCAATTGGTCTGTAAAATATAGATCTGGCATTATTTGCCCAACATGCCTAAAAGTATAGAAGAAGATCTTTTACATAGAAAATATAACACAAACTACGACTATAAATCTAAACGGACACGACAACAGAGTATATAAACAAGCTGAGGTCCATATGGAACGAGAAATACATATTACGAGAAAATTTTGACACATAGGGCTATATTAGTAAGTACAAAGTTAAGATCCCCTTTACGCATTAGGCGCATCGGGCATATGTGACGAGATGCCATATTTTTTACAGACCAGCCGGAACTAGGTGGGTAATGTGGTCAGCATTACGCCGGCCGTCTTTGCTTTCCTAGGACATACATCATGGTACCCATTTAAGGCTAGGTCGACCTGCGACGCCCGATACCATGATAACAATCCACGCATCCAGCAGTGGGTTTCGAAAGCGGTACGTTGGAATTACGAGTCGGCCTCGCAACGCCTAAGCCACGGACGCCGCTGCTATATTAGGGAACCACACAAATAAGAAGGCCCCGGAGGGGGCGGGAAAAGTGGGGTGGGGGGGGGGGGGAGGTGATGAATAAAACTCGTCTACAAATGAGATTCTCACGCTGAGAACAGATAATTTATAGATCCATTTCTGGTTGTGGGAACAGACTGTGCACAGGTGACTTACTCATAATGAGAACAAATGGTCTAAAGTGACTTTCTCATAATGAGAACAGACTGTTCAATGTGACTTTCTCATAACGAGAACGGACTGTTTAATGTGACTTTCTCATAACGAGAACGAACTGTTTAAGGTGACTTTCTCATAACGAGAACGGATTGTTCAAAGTGACTTTCTCACAATGAGAACGGACTGTTCAAGGTGACTGTCTCATAACGAGAACAGACTGTTTAAGATGACGTTCTCATAACGAGAACAGACTGTTTAAGGTGACATTCTCATAACGAGAACAGACTTTTCAAGGTGATTTTTTTCATAATGAGAACAGACTGTTCAAGGTGACTTTCTCATAACGAGAACGGACTGTTCAAGGTGACTTTCTCACAATGAGAACGGACTTTTCAAGGTGACTTTCTCATGACGAGAACAGTCTGTTCAAGATGACTTTCTCATAATGAGAACGGACTGTTTAAGGTGACTTTCTCATAACGAGAACGGACTGTTCAAAGTGACTTTCTCATAATGAGAACGGACTGTTCAAGGCGACTTTCTCATAACGAGAACGGACTGTTCAAAGTGACTTTCTCATAACGAGAACAGACTGGTCAAGGCGACTTTCTCATGAGAACAAACTTGTTCTGCAGCTGTGAGTCTAATCAAAAGATCAGCAAAGTTAACTAAGCGTTTGTTTTATTTAGTTCCGTGTGTTATAAATAGATAAATAACGTCCAATAACTGAGCATTCTATGTGTGGAATTGTTAACTGACTTGTTTGCATCAAATTAATTTATTAAAATGTCAACGAAGATAAATAATTTCTTGCTCTCAGGCTGCACTAGATGCTGACTAAGTGTTCTTTGTAGTTTTAACACCTTGTAGCTTGTATTTTACCAGTGACAAGCGTTGACATAACAGCAATTGGACAATGAAAAAAAAAATTAAAACAATAGAAAGGAAATGTACACAACGAACGCTAAATATAACAAGAGAAGATAGGGTTAGAAATAACGTTCTAATCATGATAGTGTCCGCACGGCAAGAGTTACTTCCCGTCCCATTCATGCCCCAGCCCGTCACACACACCCTGTCCTATGCTGTGAGGGTGTTACTATATGGCTTCGTTTGGCATTCGCTCGCTGAATACAATGTTTGTGGAAGGTTGTGTTGTCGTGAGTGTTTAAAGGCGCCGCAGGCGCATCTGTACAAGCAAGAAGTACTGCAAGGGGAAGCGCCACTATCGTAACGGTTTGTGAGTATCGAAACTGGGATGTTTTTGTATTTCTACGTTCCTTGGCAGTGGCTGTTCCCCAGAAAACATAAGTGACCGCCAGTGTAAATCGAAATACAAAAACACACCTATTTCGCTACTCATGAACCGTCACGCAAGTAGCACAACGTGCCAATATTCTCGCAAG